TTTTTTTTTTTTTTTTTTTTTTTTCTGAGACTGGTTTTTAACAGGCCCTTCTCCTGGCCATAACAAGCTGAGTCACCAAAAAAAAGTCTGAACGCTATTTCTTTCTTTTCAGACTAGTAGGTTAGCCTAAAAATTCTGAGTGACTTAATCTGCTAGGTCAAGAGCAACAGTGCTTAACCAATGCCCTTCTGGGCACTGTGTTTATACCCCCTTCACCAGCTGACATCCACCCCCCAAAAAAGCAGGCGTACCACCCAGAAATATGCTAAGAGCACTTACACAACACTGCATCTCCAAGGCTTGAGAAAATAGAGGGTCAAATACACAAGCACTCTACTTATTTTACTTATTCTGTGAAATGAGAAGAGTCTCAAAGAGTTTGTAAGAAAGCACATTATGGTGATTTTTCCCCCTTTGCATCTGCGTGTATGTTTCAAGCTTTCTACACAGGTCTGCACTGTTTCTTAACAGCACAGTTCTATGGGACCTGTTAATAGCCCCATAGCGCCCCCTAAGCAGGGCAGCCCTCCTGCCAAGCCCTACGAGCCATCGTCTCAGCTCCTGTCCTCGTGAGCAGGAAGCAGCAGGGCAGGGAGTGGGCCGGCGCTCTATAACCATTCAGGCAGTTAAGCGCAGATGCTCTCAGAACCCCACACTTCTTCCCATGCTCCGTCCACCCGTCTCAGCACCCCTCATCTCTACCGGGGGCTTCCAGGAAGGGCCCAACCCCGGACCTCGGGGAACTGGCACGGCGTGTGCTGACTCCCCCGTCAGACCCCTGCTCTGCACACACAGGGGCTCTGATGGTCAGAGAGGAATGGCCTTTTGGGGGCTGCCAAGGGGAAATGTCCCCGGCTCTGCAATGACAGCTGTGCCACTCCCCTCCCTACAAATCACCCATGGCTCCCCAGTGCCACCAATGAAAGAGGCCAAACCACGCAGCCTACATTCGAAGCCTCGTCAGTCAGGCCTGACGTCTGTCCACCTGGCCCCCCACCGCTCCCCAGGCTGGCGTTACCACCACCCCTCCACACCCAGCCTTCGCTCAGAGCGCCCTCCGAGCCTCCTCTCCACTCCTACGTGAGCCGAATCCCACCCCCTGAGGGCTGGGTTCCTCCTGCCCCCGAGGTGCCCCTCCTCACCTGCCCCCCAGGGCAGCAGCTCCAGAGCCGGAACGCTGCGACGCTGGGTTGCAACTCCAGCTCCCTCGCTGCTAGCTGTGTGACCCTCTCACTGCCTCCGGGTCCCTGTCCGCAAAGTGGAAATAATAACAGTACCTCACTCACAGTGTTGTTCTAAGAATTAAAGGACTGCAAGATACACAAAGCACCTACTGCAGTCTCCGGCACACGGTAACACAGTACGCAATTTTAAAAAAGCAAAACCTTTAACTAGGGACTTCCCTGGTGGCGCAGTGGTTAAGAATCCGTCTGCCAATGCAGGGGACACAGGTTCGGTCGCTGGTCCGGGAAGAACCCACATGCCGCGGAGCAACTAAGCCCACGCACCACAACTATCGAATCTACGCTCTAGAGCCCGCGAGCCACAACTACTGAAGCCCGCGCGCAACAACTAGTGAAGCCCATGCGCCTAGAGCCCGTGCTCCGCAACAAGAGAAGCCACTGCAATGAGAAGCCCGCGCACTGCAACAAAGAGTAGCCCCCGCTCGCTGCAACTAGAGAAAGCCCACGTGCAGCAATGAAGACCCAACGCAGCCAAAAATAATAAATAAAATTAAATTTAAAAAAACAAAAAACCTTTAACTGTTATTACTGCTGCTGGAGGTGACCCCGCTGTCCTCCATTACCTTACTTTGTTTATCTGTCCAATCTTGTGCCAACACTTTCTGTCTTACCTGATTTAGGTCCCTGTCTTAGCTCCTTTACTAGACTGAACGCCCTGGTAAGCGTTTCGCTTGGTATACAACAGAGGCGATACAGAACCCCTGAATGCATGAAGCTCCAGGAGGCAGTTCAGACCCCGCACCACCCAATCCACGGGCACAAGCCCTGCAGCAGAGAAGCGCTGGTCCTCCTGCTACAAGCCTGCCCCCAATACTCTGGATGCAATTAACGCACTACTCACCAATCTTTTCATCTAAATGAATCCAAACTTTACTCCTGGAAAAGGACGATCTGAAAACGTTTTCCGGCCAACACAAGGAGAGCCATTCACGTCTGCAGAGCACCACGGACCTGGCTCGGGGACTCCGCATATGCGACAGCCATTAGGACAGGACCATTTGAAACTTGTTTCAGAGGAGAGAGTCGGACGGCACGAGGAAGCACTCCGCCTTCCTCCACGCTTCTCGGCCCTCACACTGCAGCCCGTCCTAGCTCTGAGCCGTGGCCTCCACTCGGGAGCCACCTTCCAGGACCACGGGCAGCGTGGATGCAGGGAAGGCATGTAACCACATCAGATGGAGCTTAGCCGCCGCCTTGCAACGGGCAGACCACACGTTTGACCGAACAAGGCCAGGGAGCTCGAGTGAGGCCAGGCACGAGGCGGGGTAATCGCGGCTCTATGAACCCCCGGATGGTAAGCCTGAGGCTCTGCAGCTCAGGATACCTTGGTGGGTGCGTTACCGCTACAGAAGGGCCCCTCCGAGCAGCTTTTTAATATCTGTATCCTGGGGCCTGGCACCCAATACGCACTCAAAACGCCTGCTGAAATGGACTGAGGGAATGGTTTAGGTAGAAGCCGCAGCAGCTGCTGAGTGAGGAAAATGAGGTCCAGAGAGACTAACAGTTGTGGTCAGCTACAGAATGTGGCCTTTGATGCCACCCACCCAGGACAGGGCTCCATCCTGGGCCCAAACCCAACTTGCCCCTGTTCCCCACAGCCACCTCTGCTCCACGCGGACCGGGGACCACTGAGGTGCTCACGCCCCCTGCCCGCCTCCTCCACCTGTCCCCAGGCACAGGGGGCCTCTTCTCTGCCGGTGCAGTTCCCACCCATCCTCACCAACAGCCCTCAGACTCCAAGACACCAGGTGCAGGCCGCAGCTCCTCTGGGCGCAGTGGCGTCCTGACAGCACTCACGGTGCCCACGAGGCAACTGAGCACCAGCACTGCGTGGCCTTCTGTCGGTCGACATTGTCCCATGCATCTCTGTTCCCTCTCCTGACCCCCTCAACCCCTTGAGCACCAGGACGGCTATGAAATCCCAGCTCCCTCTGACCGGCTGAGCCATCCCTCCACCTCGCTGAGCCTCAGTTTCCTCATCTCTAAAGTGGGAGGGACAATGAAGCTTACTTCGCAGCACAGCCGGAAGGAGCAAGTGATGGCTGCAGAACTGCTTTGCGAGAGGTATGCCTCTGCTCTTAATCATTAGCTTTGTTGCTGTTGTTTTATTTCTGCACCCCCTCCCTCCCACCAAGCCCCTAGCACATACTTTTAAAAGAACACTAACAGCACTACATGCCGTGAGAGTCACTTTTACACTGTCACAACAGCACAGAAGACACATTAGAAACTCACTCTGGCCTCTAATCATTTATCTGAACTGAGCTGTGAAGTTACCGAGGTCTTGCCTGCTGGCTAACTGGCAACGAGGAGGCTCCATCCTCTTCATGGCCAAGTGTTTTGTCCACGGGACAGTGGACGCCGGGCCTGTTCGCAGATGGGCCCACTGTCCCACACAGCCACTCCAGTGTGGGGATGAATCAGTCTCTGCCCCCCACCAAGCAAACTAAGGCTCAGAAGGGCTGCACAATTTTCTCGGGTCCCACAGTTGAACCGGGAGAAGCAAAATTCAACTCAGGTCTTCCTGAGAGAAGCATCACGCTCTTTCCCCTTGCTATATACCTGTACATCCCTTACGTTTGTATGTTTTCAAGTCCCCTTGAACTTATACCCCTCATCAACTACCTTGGCATTTCAAAGGTAGTGACAGGGTCTCCTACGGTAAAGCAGACAGAAAAGAAAAAGAAAAAAAAATTCCCCAAGTTTACTGGCTCCCTCTCATAGCTGACTGGAATTCAATACCCAACTGAGAAATGAGTTTCTGGAACATGGATGCAGTGGAAGAGCAGCTGAGGAAGACGAATGGGGGTGGGAACCTCGAGAAAGGTAGGGAAACACTCTCCAGGGCCCGTCACCCCTTATCAGAGACGCTACACCACAGAGAAAAGAAAGGCTCCCAAATGCCAGTTAGCCAACGGGAGAGGCCTCAATAATTTCACAGGCCCCACTAAAGGCTGAAAAGTAAGCTGGAAATTTATAAGTAAAGCAGGAAATAAACAAATCACTACAGCCTAATCCAGCCAGGCCCATAAGGACTCCAAAGGTCCGTGCTCATGAAAGACATTTCACCAGTCCTTCCACCAAGCAGGAGGAACCCAGTTTTAAAAGAAACCAATCAACATTCTAGACTGATCACACTTGGCATGAGCGCCCACCTTGGGTGAAAAGGCACGTTGCTTTTTCAGTAAGGAAATTCCATAGGGGGGGCCCTCTGGTGGTCCTTCACCTGCACCTCGGGCTTTCCGAGCCCCCCACAGAATTAGGACTGCCGAGTAACCCTCTATCTGCCACCGAAGGGTTCACCGCTGGCAGACTCAAGAGCGCAGGGAAGCGACAGTCACCGTGCAGACAGCAGCACCACGGACGTCAGGACGCCCGCCTCTGACAGACGGAACTCCAGACCCGACAGGACAGCGACTCGCACAAGGTCACGGGGAGAGTCGGCGGTAAGGCTCCCCGGCCGGGGCTCCGGTCGTTAGCCGGCACGGCCGCCCCCGCCCCCGACAGCCTCCCCAGGAGCGCGCCCGGCCTCCCGCTCCCCGCCGAGGGCGGCTCCGCCGGGCGGGCCCAGCGCAGGGAGCCCGCTGGGAAGGCGGCGGCTGGGCCGGGGCGGAGGACTGGGCCCAGCCGCGCAGGGACGCGCGAGCACCGCCCAGGCCTCGGGGCGCCGCCGTGGGGGCCTTACCGAGGCACTGCCCCACCGGCGTGCTGAACGGGTTCCCCAGGAGGAACTCCATCTTGGGCGGACGGCTCGGTAGCAGCCCGCGCGCGTCAGCCGCCGGGTCTCCGCGTCCCCAGCGGCGCTCCCTGCCTGACTGACACTTGCCCCGGCCCCACCCTCGGGAACGCCGGTGCCTGCCCCTGGCCCCGCCCCTCCGGCGTCTATTGGGCGATGGCTGCCCTGCCCTCT